CAGCTTAATGCACCAGAGACTCTGATAGACGGGGTAAACGTAGACTCTCCTTGTGCTTCCACACAGGAGTAAAAAAAACAAACAAAATGTATCTATATTTCTTGTATCTACAAGAATTACCAAAATAAACATTTTGAAACTGACAATACCAGTGAAAGATTGGATACAAATTATTCTCGTTCTCATAAGGAAATGATAAATTTGCATCAGAAACATCTTTGCCACTTATACCCCTTTTCTCGTAATGGAAATGTAAAAATTAATTCACACTTACCTCAACTGTGCACATTTTTGATAAAATTCCATTTAAAGCAGATAACCAAGTTGATATTCACATGTGCAATCCAAGTGATGACAGCAGGCACCATATGACATCAATGTAACTGTACATCTGTATGTTACACCAGCCACCACATGTCAATGTTTACTGGCTAGCATGTTAAACCAAGTTAATCTACATGTAATGTGCATGAGAGTGCAATGTACACCAGGCACAAGATGTCAATTTGCATATTACACCAGGCACAATACCAGGTGTACAATGTATGCGTGTATAAGTATGTTACACTTTTCGGTATACGGTATTCTCTTTTCACCTTTTGGGGGTTGGGCTATATTTTATTCAACATTGTTCTCTTTTTTTTTTCTGGGTTCATTTTTTTTCACTGATATTTTTTTTTGTCCTATTTTTTTTCTTTCAATATATCATATAACCCAGTTTGTGCCACAGGGCACTTTATGTTCATAATCTCTTCATATCTTCTCAGTCATGTGACAATAAAAGAACTACAAAATGTTTAAAAAGATACAGAGAAATGAATCTGAAACATATGATAGCAATACATAAAAAGTTGCGAGTAAATATGTCAGAGGAGGCATAGAGACAACATCAAGATCAAAACACACTGCATCTTTGTTCGTTTCTCTTCATCCATGATACCAAACTCTGGCCGTTAGTGTCATATACCATTTTCAAGAATAAAACAATCTCACGATATCCTGCAGGTTGCATTTAAACATGTAACACTGTTCTTGTCAAACATCATGCCACAAATAATAATCTTTCACTTCAATCTTATTCTTACAATTCAATAATTAATATAAAACAGAATATCATAAAAGTTATTCACTTGTCATGGAAACGTGTTAGGCACTCCAGATGTGGTCTGCAACTTGCAGTCATGGCATTCGTCAACACAGTGTAAAATGTAATATCAGCTTATTTAAGCTCAAAAATCCAAAAATAGTTGTCCCATCTCTAGGACTGCACCTTAAGGGTGAATATAGACGATAACATGCAATTTTTAGTATTGTTGGATACTGTATATTGATAGATACATTGGACTATGACCTGAAAATGCTGTTCAACATATCCGAGTATTGTTTCGGTAAAACAATTCAATTCTGTAATACACGCGTGTGCTCTTTGTTTTGGTACATACAATAACAATCACAGCACGTGCGTATATTAGCGAAAAAATTCTCTTGTGTATCCTGCAAATGCAACATATATCGTTGGCAATAAATCAAAATCTGATTTAGTCTAGAGTATTGAGTATCAAACAATATTTAAAATAAATGTGTTCATCTATATTGTATCTTTAATTGCTGGTTCCTATCAATGACTCTTGACAGATCTACTCGCTCAGTAGACAAAACCTCTCTCCAACAACCCCGAAGATTCTTACATATCATCTCATCAAATTTCTTACTGTTTTACAGACTTTTTAAGATCAATTATTTATGAATTTAAGATTTTAAAAAAGAAAATGACAAATTATGTGCATGAGCATATTCCTTACAAAACACACTTAGTAGACCTGGCCTGAAACAAGTAAACACAGTGGAAAGAATGAATCACAGTCAAAGTAAAAACAAACAACTGGTTTTGAATTTCCAATGAAGAGGATATCATTTTGAATTGCTGCAATTTGTTTTTTGAAAGACCTTAAAACAAAATGTTAGACTTCTTGAGGGTCTTTGTTAATTTTGGAACAAATGGACATAATTTCCCATTTGCTAGAGTTCATCATTTAAACTTTTGAAAAAATATTGACGAAATCTGTGATTGATGCCAAAAGTCGACTCTGGTGTTCAAAGAGTTGTAAAGGCGTTACTTTTTTTAAGACATTCTAGACTTTGTTGTAACCATGAAATTAAGTAAACAGAATTCTACATTAATTCAATTGGCTTTACACTTTTCACTTGCCCATCAATGGTAATGACATCACCAAAACTGACAGAATACCTGGACTGTGATTGATTAACAAACTATAGGCCAACCACTGAGTACGTTTCACAGCATGAAGTATCTCATGATATTCTGTATCAAGCTGCAGCTGGCACACAAATTCACAGTAACTCAAACCAAACCCAATATACATTCTAGCGTAACAGTTCCTCTAATGTATCCCCGCTACATTATGTCACACTAAGATCAAAAGAACAATTATACAAGCATTCTTTTGCTTTCTCAAAAAAAAATTCACTGTACAATTTTTTAGGTAAGAACAAAAAAAATTCTCTGTATGCCTAAATTTGCTGTACATATGAGAGTCAGTATCACCGCCTCCATGATCTGGCTTCTGATTCATCATCTTCATCTTCATCATCGTATCCTAGCAACAATTCTTCATCAATTTCTTCTGTTGCCTGCAGTGATAGGAATAATTGTAGAAGGAATGGTTTTAATAAATTTCTCAAGAAACAAAATGACTTTTTACTTCAAGTTCGTGAAATCTCATGATGTGCTATAATAGAGTTTCAAGTTATTTGCTAGATTCCCTGGTTCCCGGCATTCTGATGAGCTAAGGAACATTTACGTTGTGAAATCAACCCCTTCAGGCAGACGAAATGAATAAGTCTGACTGGGAACTCCCCAAAGAATCTATGTTGTTAAAATAAAAGCAATCAGGCTTGCAAATTGTCAGAATATCAGGTTTGTGCCAAAAATATCCACAAAAATCGTAGATACTGTGTTGAAATTGCACAAATCTGAATGAGCCGAGCCTAACCTAAGTGTATCTTAGAGGAAACAAATGAGGTATGATATTGTGCTGTACTTACATCTTCATCAGCATCTTCTGTATCATCTAAAGCTAATGCCTCATCTACTGCTATTGTAGGTGGTTTATACCAAGACATGAATAACTTCTTATCTTTAAATGTTGCACCTCTTGTGACAGCCTAAAAATAAAACAATTCGTGACAATATACATACATGCTAATGACTACAGAGATCTATTTAGGAGATAAAACCAACATTTGTGTCTAAAGTCTATTCAATCGGCGACATTGCTCATAAATAACTTTATTGTTTAAGACTTAGGCCACACTGATTTAATTTTATGGATAACATCCTCTGGAAACCCCAAAACTAATGCGAGAGGGTGAAAAAAAAAAAATCCTGCCCCCAAAAAAATGCTGCTATACAAAGCTGGTATTACGAATTGAACCACAGAACACAGTGTATCAAAAAACAACAAAAAGTCTTTATTTGTAGGAGGCACATGTTGATGTTTCTTTACCTCGAAAGCGGACTTCGGCCGAGGAGCTTCCGCTGCTTTCGTTGCAGTTTTGTCGACTTCACTGCGAACAAAGCAATCAAACTGACTTGTCGCCTGACCGACTTTTAGGTCACCATACACTTCTACTCCTCTCATCATTGCAGAAGAAATGCGGATCATCCACTCTGGACAATATGTCCTTAAAGTTGTCTGGGCGAAACTTGCTTGCCGCTACCAATCTCTTGTATAGCTGTGTAAACGTCACATCCCCCTGGCCGACGTCAATTGCGTACCAGTCTACAACAATCCCTTCGTTTTTCCTCTGAACTTTTATGCTCACGTATTTTGGTGGCGCGGTCGCCATGTTGGAATTCCCGGCAACGCAATGCGCATGTGCAGAAGATCATGTATGACAAAATTGGCACGTTTTGAGGTAGTCAAAAATGAGTTTTACGACAAGCCAGCGTTTTGCAACAATGCGAGTTCCGGACAGAAAACCGATCTGTGGAGACTCGTCGTCGGAGATTTTTTTTTTTTTTTTAGAACAGGCAAAAACTAATGCGCGCGCGGATGTCATCCATAAAATTAAGTCAGTGTGGCCTTATGCTAAAATACATACCGTTAAAATCCTATTATAAACCGCATACCTAATAGTAACCGCACCCCCGATTTCGGCTTCAGTGTTAAAGAGTTCTCAACAAAAATTGAAAACATGAAAAGTACCTATTACTAACCGCACCCCCAATTCAACAAGACCGTGACCGACTTTGTTTCAACCAGCTGGTACATTGTTCCTAATCCTATTCATTTGTTTCGACAATGTGCCTAAAAATATTCACACCTTATTGTTCAGTAGTGTTAGGATGTCAAACACGCAGTGAAACTGCTTTTGTCTTGTGACAACTTTTGTCAATACTCCTTATGAAAACGTCGGTGTGTCGCAAGTTTACGACAATGAGCTGTTCTCACCGAAAAACTGTTAAATTCTTTTTCAATGCTCAGTTTATCTTTCGAAAACAACTGATTTCTTGATTTAAAAAAAAAGTCATGTCATTATCGGTAAATCTCTTCCGGGTTTCGTTCACCATGAAGCCGGTGACCTGTCATTAACACATTTAAATGAAATAAGGTGGGCACGTGGGCACCATCCAACATTTTTATTGGTTAATTAGCGACCTGACCTATCCGGTCAAGTAATGTCTCGTGTGCATTCAAACTACATAGCGGAAGTCGTGTCGCATCGATCGTTTACATGTGACCAAAATAATTCGCTTACGGTGAAACTAAGTTGAATTTTACTTGCATTTGATAACAATTCAACGAATTTATTTTTCGTGTGTTATTATAATCACTACTGAGTAATAATCAACAATTTCAACAGTTCCAAAACAAGCAAGTTATTCACTTGTGAGCCGAAGCATGGCCGGATTGCGTTACCGTACCCACGGTACCGTACTTTTTTAGTGCCGTACCATGATCATTTCCTACTAAGCAATGCATTAATGTTTGTTTTTATTTGAAACTCCTGTCAGAATATACTTTCCGTTACGAAGAAAATTAAAAAAATAAATACATATTACATTAAATATACAGAGTATTTTTTTTCATGTGAACAGTTTTTTTTGTGACGTGACATCTAAATTGGAGTTAGCTTATATTCAAAAGATTGTACGGTGTATTGTTTGTTTTGTGCAAGTGAAAAAATGACCACGCCCATTTAGTGATTGCAATATGTACCTAATATAAACCGCACCCCGAACTTGAGCTGTTGATCCCAATTTTTTATTTGATACATTGTAATATAAACCGCGGTTTATAATAGGACTTTAACGATAGTTGTTATAGAGCTTGAACTCCTATATACCATTTCAAGAGAGAATTTTTTATATTTTTCATAAATTTGGATCAAGACTTATAGACAGTACCGGTTCTGATAATGATGATTTATATAATTGATATTTAGAATTTCTAGATATTAATGGTTTATTTTGAATCAGAATTTGAGATATAACTTATTTGTTCTTTACTTGTTCCAGAATAGCTGCTGTTCAGCATCTTGAATGGATCACATAGTCAAAAAGCTAGTGAATATGTAACATTAGTAGTATGATATATGTGTGAAGTTTGAATGTGAATGATTGAGACATGTCTGAGAGATCAAGCTCCCACTAAGTCAAAGTCTAGTGAAATCCATCTATACACTACCTTATTCTGGTTCCAGAATGACAGAAATATTTGATTTTGATGAAATGGCTGCCTTTTGGCCATATTGAATCAGATTACAAAACAAGCCCACGTATCCCAAGATGTATAATGTAAGTGTGCAGTTTAAACTTTATCGGTTCAGGCATGTCTGAGATGCAGATAAAGACAGAAGCATATGCACGCAAGGTCAAATCATAAGACTAATAAAAGAAATTGCAGAAAAATGCACCAAAATTTACCAAATATTTAGACCATAATGTAGGCAGATCAAGATGGCAGTCTAAGAGTTAATTGGGCAAGGAATTTTAAGTGATTTTAATGAGGAAATGATGGGATAAAGAAAATGCTATAAAATAACTTACCATTTCTGCTTCTTGTCTTGTTTTAAAGCTCAAAGTTGTTGACTTGTCAAGGTGTTCTATGCTCTCAATTTCACCAAATTGCTGTCAAGAAAATTAACAATAACAGAATGTGACAAACTAATATGTGCTGTTGTTGTCATGAGTGCAGTGAAATATAGTGATTAATTATTTGTCACAGTATTACTGTAGACAGCTTTAATATTGCAAGAGCTTTTTTTGTGAATTTTACGAGTCAAATCTGTGAAATTGTGTAGCAGTGAAGATAACTATTGGGCCCTACATATATGACATGAAGTGTCAGCAACTTTTGAAAAATTGTGTTCTTATGAATGCCATAAAATCCTGAAGTTGTGAAAATTCCAAGCAGTAAAAATTAAGTGGTTTACAGTATTATGTGAAACTATTGATACACATTTTTGAATTGTAATACACTCAGCTAAAAAACTAGTCTTGAAAAAAAATCATGCCAAAATGCCCACAACCACAGCTCTACTTACTGAAAAATGTGAAAAGAGTTCATCCTTATCATCTTCCTCATAACCAGTTAAAGTCAATTTACGTGGACGTTTATCTAAGACTGTGCCAACTCTAGGTCTGCCAAGCCCACTGGCAGCGTACCCTCTGCCACGACCACCTCTTCCTCTAGACCATCCTCCACGGCCTCTACCTCGGCCTCTACCTCTTCCCATACCTATCAGACCCAGTGACTGTGCCTGCAAGAGACAAAAACATTGTATAAACATTGTATAAATACATACAGTGAACTTAGAAAAAGGACAGGACAAGTAAGTTCAAGATGTTTGCTGTACAGGCTTGGTTACAAACTGTAATTTATAATTTATAGCAGGAGGCCGAGATAAAGCCGTCTAACAGCAGTAAGTCAAAGGAGTTATATATTAATGTGGAAAGTCATGTCTTTCTATGATTTAATTTCCATGTAAATTTCTTGGTTTTCAATTTTCATTTTTTTTTCTTTACTATTGATTTATTTATTTTAGCTGTGACAAGTTGTTCGCTATATTGAATAGATGTATTGATAATATCATGCATCATAATATCAACAGTGTGAAATGTATCAAATTATTCATTTGTGCGAATTTCCAGTTTAGACATAATTTTTAAAAGATTTCAATCTTTTCCTTTCATAAAATGTGTTAAATTCTTCACTGCTCAGTATATCTTTCAAAAACAACTAATTTCTTGATTTAGAAAATAAATCATGCAGTTTTCTCATTAAAATCAATGCCAAAAGATAGTACTACAACATCGATAAATCTCTTCCATGTTTCACCATGATTTGGTAATTAGCGATTTGACCTCTAAGGTCAAAAAACAGTTTCAGGTCAACTCGTGTATAGAAAAAAACATGGCGGATATCGTCCCGCATAAGCATTTGCAAGTGACTGAAAACATTCGCTTTTGATAAAACTAAGTTGAATTTTACTTGCATTTCATAACAATCCAACAAAATAAAAGTATTTACTGTACTTATCTTGACATACTTCTACAATTTCATATGGCAACAACTGTCCTCCCAGTAATTCACAAATGGCAATGCTATATTTACAAATGTCCAACAAAATCATTTGTCCCATGTTTTTCAAATGAAATTGTGTATAAATACTGTGAGAAAAACAAATGATGGTACTTACTTCAATTCTAAGTTCGGATACACGCTTTTTCAAGTCAGTAGTGTCTAGACCTGCACTCTCTTGGGAAATCAGTTCTAGTTCAGTATCTAACAATTCTTTCTCAGCCTAGTAAAATAGAATAACATGAATAAGTCAAAGAGGTAGGGTTGACAGTACTCTGTAATATAATTTCAAACCTTAAAGTATGAAACAGGGTTTGGTGCTTAACTGGCATTTATGATTTTAAATGATTTGTTCTCTGTCATGATAAAGCATTAAATTAATTGGCAATAAACAAAAATGAAATGTCTGTCAGTTGGAAATTTAGAAGTGCATCTATAACACAACAAGATGTGCATAAAAGTGTACATTTGTAAATCCCATAATGTTCTATGAATGTATGAAATCTATCTATGCAGCATTGTAGAAATGGTTCGTTCATTTCTGGCATCAGTCAACGCCAATTCATTTGTGTTAACTTTTATAGCAGGCTCACCTCTTGTTTGGTTTTTGAGGTCATGCCAGTCTTCTTGGTAACTAGATCCTTTTTTATACCGCCTATATGATCTGATAACATTTTTAACGACTTCATAATCGCAGCCTTATCTTCAACACTCATGTTCTTACTCTTTTCCAATTTAGCCACCATAAGCTGAGAAATAACATAAAGCATTTGGTCACAAAAATAGATTATAGTGGTAAAAGCAGAAAATGGTTGAATCGTCGACTGCCATGTCATAAAAATTAAGTTAGCAGCTATGAAAAGTCTACCTGAACAAGTTTGATGACCTATACTCAACTACAATCTCACCAAACAATCATTTATTATCATTTACTTAGCAAAAAAGTATTGCATGTACCACTCAACAAACACATCGCACAATTTTTTTTTTTTTTTTTTCACAAATATAAATAATTAAACATTTACCTTCTGTTGTTGTATTTGTTTATTGAGTAATTCTTGTTTCTGTTTTTGTATGTCCAGTTTCATCTTGATAGCGCCTTTTCTCTTCTCCGCCATCTTAGATTTCTCTTCTAGCTGTTTTTTTAAGGCATCTTGGGCAGCAACTATTTGTGATGACGTTTGGGCTACTGTTTTTCCTTTCAGGGCAGAGGGGTTGTAAACAGTCTTTGACAAGCCAGCTGAATGTAGAACAACCTGCATAAAAAGATGATGAAAATAGTCAGTACACTGGGTAACCACGGGAAAATCTAAAACTCATACTAATAGTTTTATTATGTCTAGAATTAGTGATTAGTATCAGGAATAATTATTGTACACAGCACTTCAAAAGCACTTCAAAACCCAGGGCAAGTCAAAAGTCTAAGAACACCTTAATTAAGCAAAATGCAAAGAAAATTCCACATTTTCAGCAGGTTACTAGTTTTTTTTTTTTGGCCAAGCATTGCAAATTTAAGACAAGCAGGCAAGGACTTTTGTGTTACCTTATCCTCGTTACTTTTTGATTCCGCTTGACCAGTGTATCCCAGCCTATCTTTGACAGACAGTCGAGGGCTGGTTGGAAACATATCCGCCTGTACGGCAGCAACCAAACAAGAAGAGAGAGAATTTAATCCATTCCAAAAACACAATATGACTTTTTATTGTGAATGCACTATTGCCATTACAGTGGAAATGGTATGTGGTCTATGAATGAGGTAAGATGGTCTGTGGTCTATGAATGAGGTAAGCTAGCAGGAATAATCTCACTTGTATGTTCAACAGCGATTAAACACACTGGATTAACATTTAATAAACTTTGTCCACAAAATGTTTTTGAACTTCAATTTAATGTTGTCTATATCTTTACAGTGATATCAATAGCAAATTAAATATTGGGGCAAATGTCTATTATTGATCAAAAACATTTAATATATGCCTATTTTCATACTTATTGAAAACACTGGAAATTACCTACTGTGGCAGTCTGAATATATTCACCGCAATGAGTGTCAGACCACTGTGGTGGGAAATCAGCACTGCAATCCTGGGTACAACACTGGTACAGTATTCTGTGATGCTAAAACAGTGTAGTGGGGTCTGTACTATTTCATGCCATGCACCAAATTTGCATGCATTTTACCACAGTTTTAGTCATACGTTACATATTTAATGACATATTGAACAGAAATCATAAAAAAACATCAAAATAAGTTTTTGAGAATGTTATCAATAATACAGGCCCATAAATATATAAAAAATGCAAATGTGCCATGACAGAAAAGCAACATAATGAAACAAAAAAAAAAAAAAAATTAAAAAAGCAAAGCAAGAAGGATTCACCTAAAGCTTCATCTGAGAAAACTGAAAATCACAATATGTAGTGTTACCTTTTCAGAGTCTGGGGTCTTGACCAGCGTAAGTTGTTCTCTGGTTGGTAGCGTCCCAAGACGATCTTTAATGGATTGTTTGATGTGTGGTTGTGCCTGTCCTGACTGATCTGACAGAGTTTGATTTCCACCCTAAAGACAGAAATACAGAATAACTCAGAAATGAAAAGGGGAGGGTTTCAGTTATAAAGTTTGGTCAATTACAGCATTTATAATTCGCTGTTTTCATTTTTTCCCTGCCAAGTTTGTGAACTTTAAATCCAGTGAAATAATAGTGAAGATAGTAAATTTTTTTTTTTTTAAGTATTAGAAGTCTTTACAAACTAAATGAGGTTGATTGAAATGGAACACACCAACTTCACATTTGCAAGGCTTGAAGTTCAGAGGTCAGGGAAGATAATGTTTAGATGGTCCACCATCCATGAATACATTGATGCCCTTCAAAATACCGTAAAATCTGTATTAGAAGCCGCATCCCTAATAGAAGTCGCACTCAATCTTTTTGTACAATTGAGAACCAAAAATTCATCATTTCTCATATGTGTAGATGCTCTAATAGAAGCCGCATCCCTTCTGTTGCATTGTACCATTTTAATAGAAGCCACGGCTTCTAATACAGATTTTACAGTAGTAAAATATTTCATAATTGCTCTCTAGACCATTTTTAGTGAGGTTGTGAGAGGCCTTGAAAATGGGTGCAATGGGAATACTGAACTTCAGCCATGAAACATTGCAGTTTATGAAGTGTTTTCACCAGAAATTTACATATATACATGCAGTAAAAATATAACATCAAATATCTATTTGTACAAAATATGTTCAAAAACAAAGAAGAAGACAGCAGAAGAATATTCACCTGATCTTTTTCACGATGCCAAAATACTTTTATGAATCTGTTATTGAAGACAGCTTCTTCACAATTGTGAGCTTTTTTGGCTTCTTCCCTGGTAGAAAACTGTAATAGCGCTGCTTCTGGGTCTCCATCAAAGGCCACCTAGAATAAGTTGGGAGGACATTTACAGCAAATAAATAACTGTGGTAACACTACCTTGGCTATCTGAGATTGTTCGAGGGTTGGTAAATGTGATAATTCAGAAGAAAGCAAGAATTGTGTAATATAAATTAAATTAACACTTACCTGTAAATTAGTAATAGTACCAAATTTGGAAAAGTGTTCATTGAGTTTTGCAATATTATTTAATTCCCTTGGTATTTTCTTGATCTCCAATTTCCTATTATCAGGATCATAACGAGGTCTTTTTACAAAACCTCCAGGATGATTGTAGTCTTTATTACCCTGCCATCTACCTTGATGATGTTGTTCCTGCATCGGTGGCTGTTGTTGTTGTTGTTGATGCTGTTGTTGTGAATATGGGCGATTGTACCCCCCTACAGATTGGTTAAATGTTCGTTTACGATTCATTCCACTATTGATAACATTACGTGTATCCACTACAGTTCTACCACTATCTGATGAGGTAACCAACGTTTGCTGCGATGCTATGTCCACTGCAGTATCAGATATGCTAGAAGTCACACTTGTACTTTCTTTCTCTCTTAATTTTGCTGTAAAAGTTACGACAACAATATATACATGAAATGCACTACAATGGTGATTGATCCTGTATGGAAACATGAACAGTGAAATATTTGTTATACTACAATTTAGTAGAAAGAAAAAGAAAGAAACAACAGCTGTTTTAGGAATTTATTCTTGTTATTTGGTTGTATAATTACCAAACACACATTTATTTACAGGGCAAATGCAGACCTTTAATTTTAACAGGTGTACGTTTCTTACAATGACACTTAGAGCATGATGGGAATAATTTGCTGTGATACAATTACATCTCAAATACAACACTAAGCTGGTGGTGTTGGCTCCACCACCCTCCATCCCAACACCAAAATAAAGTACATAAACTTATACTACAGACATGTAATCAGCTACTTTTTCTTGATGCCCAGTATTATTTTAACCAGGATTTAAGAAATAATTGTTGGCTGTTTGGTAAACTAGTTATAATTGACATCAACAATTACCAGAGACGCATGTGACAAAACGGCTAGTTACCTTCTACAGCAGAGGGTATGGCAACCAGTTCTCGTGATCTGACAGGTCTGGTATTACCACCCCAGTACGATCTACCACTGATACCTTCATCTAAACCTGGATGTTCAGGATTATAACCATCTGTTTGGAAATGATCTGCAAAAAAAAATGTTTTTTGTCTTTCACTAAATAAAACATTCCTCTGTTGCTATGCAATTGGATTCAAACTTGCTCACAGTTGAATGTTTCTGGTGGTAAGAAAAGATCTTAATTTGAGTAACTTGAAAAGTTACCGTATTACCCCGGGCACGCGCCCCTCCCTGGGCAAGCGTCCACCCCCTGTTTTCACAAAAGTTACATGTTGGGGACATCCTCGGTTAAACGCCCAGGGTGATTTTTAGCCAAGAACGGGGTTAACAATAAAGTTTAATTTGTCAAAAACGAACGCGTTCGATTTATTTAAATAGTGTGTTTGTTACGGTAGTTCTCTTTTTGGAGTGTGTGGTGGCCCTGAAAAGGGCCGCTTTGTTTCTGTTTTTACGTAAAAACTCATTGGAACTTAACGACGTAAGATGAACCACGCAGCATGTGGCGCACACGTTCTGCTTTCTCTTCATTCACGATGAATCCAATATTGCAACGATCCATACCTTGGTGAGTGGTTTGAAGTACTTAGCCTTGGTTTCAAAACGTAGTATTTCGCTGAAAGTCAATCCATAACGGGAGCTAGCACTTTTGAGACATCACGTCGTAAACTTGCTACTTTCTTTCCATCCTTCATCACAGCTATGGCATTACGGCCATGTGGATTATTTTTCTGTCGTTGAAGAAAAAACATTTTGCCGACCTCAAGTTCATTACGATAACCATAATGAGGCATGCCGACGATGGGAACTTGTTGCATCATCGTTATTTTTGTAATTTTGTCACTGTGTGGGTGCGTGAATAAATCATGTTGATGAGGTTGACCAGAGTTTATTTTCAGTCTGTTTTTTATGTATCGCCATTTGGACATGTTTATGTATTTACAAACATTTGTAAACATTTCACATCAGTAATAAAAGGTTTATTTGTTTCATAACCCTGTCTGCTATTCTTCAGTAATTACGATGCGATGTATCAATACGTGGGTGAACAAAATTATGCTAATGAGGTCATCGCCATCTTGGATTACAAGGGGTAGTTTTTCCCCGGCCGTTTCGACTTGCATGCACTGATCACGGTTACTAAAAAAGTAACCGTGCATTGATTACAATACTTACCATACTTTGTAGCCAATTTCAGTGAGTAATACAACTTCATTCGCTGACATAAAACAAGTTTTATTCTCGAAATTCGACCCCGTGTCTTAGTGTTCCCACAGTTCTTGACCGAGTGCTCACATTTATTGAAACCTCGCATAAATCAAGGAATAAGTACGTGTACAAAGTGTACGAAAGCATTCCTTTATTTGACTTTATCATACGATCACAAAAACAACTTTTTAAAATCTTTTTTGGGGTGGTCCTCGGGTAAGCGCCCACCCCCATTTTTCACCGATTTTGTATGTTCAGGCCCCTGGGCGCGTGCCCGGGGTAATACGGTACACATGCCAAGCTAATTTTTGTTTTTATAAAAAAACCAATAACTTTTCTACTGAGTAAGGAGCATACTACATTAGGTATGCAGGTATTAATTAAATTACCTGATGGAGGTTGTTGATAACGAGGTCCTCTATGGCCAAGCCTATCTGCTGTTGAAGGTAACGGCTGTGATGGCACAGTCCCAGGAGGTGGGGGTGTCCCCCTGCTGCTTGATGTCCTAATATGCTGCACCTGGGAGGTGGTTGTTGACGGTGGCGGCGGTGGAGGTGGTTGTTGCTGTTGTTGTTGTTGAGGTGGTGGAGGGGGAGGGGGCGGCTGTGAGGGGGGTGGTCCATGAGGAGGAGGGGGGCCACCTGAGAGAAATGAATAAAATTGGATTAAGATCAACATGTCACACCAGTAGCACAGTTCACACATATCAATGGGTATAAGGATAACTAATGTAAGATTATTGCTGGGGTATGCTTGTGTATTGAGTA